GCATTAGTGCATGATGGATACTGTAACTGTTTGTCTCCATGGTGTAAAAATATGATGCTGAGGTCACTGGCTCTCAGTTGAATTCAAATGAATGCTGACATGAACCGTCCTGAACTCTGTGTTACAGTCCAGCACCTCAGTTTCATTCTGAACGGATTATTTTTCTTTTGGGCTTGTCTGATTTCTCCCTTAAGTATGATTTACATATTTGAGACACTTACTTTCAAAGGTAAGATAAAATTTAAGCATCAACAGCAATGAAATTGACATTCATATGCAATACAGATGTAATGACCCAGTTTCAGGAGGTGTTGCGATAACATACCAAGGGCAAAGTCCTGAATCATGTAATAGCATTTAGTCTTTATTTAACACATATTGAAACTCCACTGCAGTACAACAAATGGGGCGGCTCATGGGCTTAATATTTGAATTCAGATGTTTTCAGTTTCATCGCCTCAGGTGTAGAAAATCAAACATCTAGCCATTCAGTCGGCATTAATAAACATTTGTGAGAGAATGGGTGATTCTTAAGAGCTCACAGAATTCAAGCGTGTTATTATAATAGGATGCCACCATTGCAACAGGTTGTAAATGGAGCTGTAAGTGGTATTATTGCCAAAGCAATATAGCATTTCGGAATCACAGCAATTCAGCCACAAAAATGGCAGATGACATAAAGTTACAGAAAAGGATTCCTGAGTGTTGAAATAAATCCCCAGTGCGCTGCTGATTCAATAACTGCTGAGGTCCAAACCCCCCTGACATTAACATCAGTGCAAAAACTGTGTGTCGGTAGCTTCAAGGCATGGGTTTCTATGGTTGAGCTGCTCCTGTAGGTGTAATTAGTATGTGGCCTGATGGTTTTGTCCATTTGCCATATGTCCATTATCTTTAGGATATTAAAGCATAGAAATTTAAGAAATAACTACAAAATATTAAATGCTATGACATTTTAGCTCAATAAAGTGATGGATAAAAGCTATAAAGTCGATTCTTAAACATAGGTATTTTGGAGGAAACGGGAGGGCTTAATAAGCCAAAAGAGAATGAGTATAACATTTTTTGGTTGTATGTGGTATGTGGGATGATGCAGTGCAGATGTAGGTTCAGTGTTTTCAGATGAAGTGTTTAAAAGGCAGCATAACTCTGCATGAATTAAATGTGTTTCAATTGCGCAACACTGAGAACACATGGCCTTGGACCTTGCTAAGCTCTTTGATGGGCTTGGCTGGATGAATTATTTCTCAGCTGCTTTCAGAAGAATCACAGTCATGTTGGTGTGCTGCTTCTTCTGAAGTCGCATCAGTGCTGTTAGAAAGGGAATAAAGTTTTTTAGATGTAATATTGCCAGTAGGTCAAAACACTCAAGGACTTTATTTGAATCATAATTTTCTGCTTTATTAAGAATCATTTTTCCTCAGTGCTAAAGTCACAGAGGAATTAAACAAAACTGCTAAAATGGGTCAGGTATGCAGTGAAGTCACATCCCATTATTTTTCACAGCTTTTGGGCTGGTCACTCTTTCTGAGAATGTCTTTTCGACTCAACAGAAACATACGGCCAAGAAAACTGTGGATGCGGACAGAGTGTTTGTTAACACTAGCATGAGTTGCTAATGGGCCCAAGCGCTATTGTAAACAGAGCCTGCTGTACGAAGTGATACTTCACTGTGTGAAGTATGTGTGACTAGACGTATGTTTTGAGTGTATTCTGCTGACAGAGGTACTTCTTATGAGTCAATATCAGTATTTAAACAGCTGGTGAAATAATAATATTTTGCAATCTCTCAATCTCGGTATTTTGTAATCTCATACGTTTATAAGCTCTATGCGCTCAAAATCTGAAAATTTCTGGTCGTAACCCTCATATTCTAAGTCACCATCTGTGTTCCTATTAAGTCACGTCTATGAAATCTATCAGACAACAGCTGACTGAAGCACAAATTACAAAATCAAAGTCAAGTTCCAGATAATTGCTACAGTACACCTCCTCCCACACACTTCAGCTTAATCTCTCTTTTCCATCAGCTCATTACTGCACAGGTGGATCCTTAGTAAAATAGTCATCCTGCTGGCTTATTAAATGCAGGCGGATATGAGTCATACCCAATGGAAAACCTACTATATATGAATGACAGATTATAGGCACTCCAATTTACACATGAAATAACAGATAATAAGTGTAGATAGAGTCATATATGATTAGATGAGCTGCCCTTTTAACATAACATTACAGAGAGCTCATCTAGCTCTCATCAAGCTGAATTAATGTAAAAAAAGAAAAAAAAAGCAATCACTCATCCAAAGCCACAGGGTGAAGTTGTCATGTGCAAAGCGACGCTTTTCCCAAGTGCTCTTCCATGCAGGAATAATTTTCCAATTATTTCCAGTTATATAATCATTATTGCTTTGAAACGAAAGACTTCAGAACATTTTCATACATTCATATCATTATTATTTCCTTTAGAGCGGCAAAATTAAGGGGAAAAAATGGAAAAACACATTCGTGATGGGCAGCCTAATGAGGCGTCGAAACAAAATGTGTTTTTCACTCCAATGTGTATTGTTGTTCTAAAGCAACATTAAAGACAGGAAAGTAATGAAGCTGTCTGAGGCCTCTCAGTGGGTGGTGTAATGCAGCCGTTTCGTTACTGATTACAAGTTATGTAGCAGAGTAGATTGTGAGTCTGAAATATCTTCCGCATGTGGTTCAGATAAGTGACTCCCCATCACGGTGAGAAAAACCCTTCAGAGAAGGAGCCTTTACTCATTAAAAGGAAAAGTTTTTCTTTGTGAGAGTGTTTTCCATTAATCAAACACATGCACACACACACACACACACACACACACACAATGAGAAATAGGAACGCAGAAACAGATGACTAGCTGTTGTCTGTCTTTTCACTGTGATTCAAACATGAAAGCTGGGTGGACCATGACATGCGCCTTGTCAGTATGCCAGACTCAGCTGGCATGACGAATTTGTGATGACACCATCCACGTGAATATGTAAAATGTGAGCAGATGTAGCAGCAATGAGTGGTTCTGCATTACAAAGTGTTCTGTGTACGTTTGAATTTCCCAGGTAGTACAGCAGTGGGAGTGTGAGGGGTTCAATATTGATGCCTATAAAGTGTGTTTTAGTTAGTAGTTGATGATTGTTTCATTAACATTGATGGGGCTGAGATATTATCCCTATGATGCTATTAGCATAAATAAAACACAAGAAATTGTCATCATAAATTGCAGTTGCAGTTGATCAGATCAGCCTCGCATCTGAGGAACATGCACAGACAGTTGTAGTAATGATGCTACGGCGGGCATGTTGTTAAATGACAACATTACAGTTCTTCTCGTGAGGATTGCGTGCATTTCAATCCAGTCGAGAGCTTTGTAGCCACACTGTAATCTTGTCATTTCAGAGAATAAAGTGCAACTAAAATAGATCCAAAATAGAATGCCTTGGTGATGCTTAATTAGTTAGTTATATGCTTGTATGTTTGCAATTGCACAAAAAGAGATTGGCAGTAAATTATTTGCTAAAAGGGACCACAAACATGGAACCATTAAGTAAAAGTGCCACAGTGGATGGAAATTCTCCAGCATCATAAAGAAGATAATTCAAAACATGTTTCGCAGAAAACAACTGGCTTCTTCAGTACTGGAGCTCAAAACAAAATTCTATTGTTGGTCCTTTTCCCTTTATTTTTCTCTAGACACAGAACTCAAACCAAACTCCCCAAGTTATTGGGTGGTGCGTTGCAATGATTCTAATCAGTGGTGCCTTTGATCAGTGGACTAATTCACATCAATAAGCTTCAGCTTCGCATTGTTTGAAACATTTCTCTTCAATTATTCAGCAGCTCTGATTTTCTCAGGTCTGACTAATAGTATCGACAAGTTTGGGCTGATTGTATTCATTTGGACTAAATGGTCTAATCACAGAGCATTAAGGCCACGGCTAAAAAAAAAGAAAAGGAAAAGAAAAAGAGAGGAAAAAACATTTGGAACTTTTTAAAGGCTAAAAACTCTTTTCAGATAAAGCTGGACCTGATTTAACTCGTAACCACGGCTTAACAATCCTGTGTCATGAAAAATAAGATATATAAAAAAAATTTGCCCTGGGCCAACTGGTGGACTATGTAGGAGTGCTAAAGTAACCAAATGGGGTTGCCTTAGCCTCAAGGGCTAGGGATAGTGCTAGACTGTGTCACAAGTCCTGTGCTGTGACTTTACACTTGCTAAATTATATAAATTTAAAATGGCAACATGCAAGTAAAAAAAAAAAAAAACTTTTTCAAACTGTGGTTTGGGAGTGGCGTTGATATAAACCTTTGCCTCACAGCACGATGCAAAACAGAAACGCAGAAGTGGTGCACAGCTGAAAAGGTGAAAATAGTCTAAATACTGTAAGTATGGTGTGAACACTGTGTTGACAGCCCAGAGAAAAAAAACATGCAGTAATTACTTGGTGCAGCATTTTCGTCAGTTTTGGCATTGGCAGCAGTTCAGAGGTATTTTGCTCGCACTCCTTCGCTTTCCCTTACTCTAGCTGCCTGCCAATAATTTTTTTTTATACTAATGGCCAATATAGTGCACCGTCACACTGCTCGTATATACAGTACATAAGGTCAGGATTAATCAAAAGTATTCATCGTCTATTTACTGGACTCCCAGTGTAAACACCAGGTGTGAGCTCATGCATGGTGGCGTGTGGAGCTGCTCTGCAGGCTGTTGGGAGTTTTATTGCATTTCCCAGAGAGGCGAATATGATGTCATCAACATGTGTCTCATCTACTGTTAAGACCCCATTTCCTCGTCTGACAGCTGAGCCACGGATAAGGAGTTTCTGTTCTCATCATACACTCAAGGAAAAGTTTCCTTCTGCGCTCCCACCCTCCCACGAGGTGTTTTCTTTTTTCCTTCTAACTCCAAAAACTAGCACTCGCTCTTTGTCTGCACCATGCTGCTTTTCAGAACAAAACTCAACCACTGACATTTCATTTTTTCCCATTTTTATTTATAAAATGAAGGTGTTAAAAGTCTAGGAAGCATTCATCACTGGCAAGTGAGACTTCAAACATATTCATATTTAATAATAATTCTCCCTTTAAGACCGTCTAACAACAGAGTTTGTACAAGGCAAATAATTTAAGGACAATATTTTTTAAAAAAATGATTAAGTGACTACATATAACTATGACCTCCTGGCTTTGTGCACAGGCGTAAGACAGGTGCTTGTACCAACAGACATCTATACAGTAGTTAATATCACAATAATCCTGAACATTACTCTTCAAAAACTGGCTTTTGTTGAAACATAAATGTTTTGTACCGTATGTTCGGCTCCATTAGTGCTGTGAAAATGTAATGGAATCAGAAGGTGAGTACAAAGTCCTGAAGAATCTGCTTTTTCGAGTAGATCATAACACTGAAGCCCTCCATCAACATGCCTGTGAACGCTTTAACGAAAGCAGTTCAGTGCGAATAATGGCGCCAAATACGTTTCTTTTTCCTGGTTTGTTACATATAGACCACCGCAACAAATCCAACCTAGTTAGCACATGAAAATACAACATTTTAAAATGACATTTTTAAACCCAAGAAGAACATTTTTTTAAAATATACAACAGATGTAACACAATCATATTATGTGACATTACATTTGTACCTATGTGAATGGGAACAGTTGTGAAGGAAAAACTGACATGTTGTGCGATGCTGTGTGGCGTCGCTGGCAGAACGTTATCGGCAGATAAGCGGTTTAACATATAAATTGCAAAAAAGTTGCTGTTTATCACATGTAGCACAGAGATAAAGACGGCTTACATCAGCTGTACTCTCGCTACTGGAAATGCTCCAATGGTTTCAGCCCAACCACTCATAGGAGGGCGACTCACCAGCAGTGAACTAACCTGTGTTATTATCAATGCAAACTGGAGCAAAATGGATGTTGCACAGTTTTTGGACTAGAGAGTCAGCTGGTTTAAAGACTTTTTAATGTCTAATCCATTTGCTAACATGCACCTTGGTAAGGTCATGTCTAAAAAGGCCGAGGGCCACAGTACATAGTGTGAAATTGCTATACTACATTGTGCAGTACATTGTTGTTCAGTGTTAGAGCAGAAATGTAAAGTAATAAAGCTAAATAATGAGCCGGTGTTAAATGGATATAGCGCATTTTGATCTTTCACACGAGGGTTGAAAATGTTTTTACATTTTACAAATAAACACAGAAAGAAAAGATGTTATTGTATTGGTGAACAATTCATTTTGCTCTTATTCCCCCTTTCTTACATTTTAGCACACGGTGGAGAAACAAGACCATTTCTGCAGGAAAAAATGCAGCATTTTTGCCACAATGATGAAATGAGCACTAATTAAAAACAGGATTTACACCAGTGAGACACCAAATGTGTAGACCACCTGCATGAAACATTGTACCTGTTTTTCAACCCCTGATTCAAAACCTCAAATACATAAATGAGACATAAACTGTATATCAGCAATGTGTCCTTTCTGAGAGTTATCAGTATCTCCCACACAGGGGTTTGCAGTTTCTTTGGGCATCAGGGACACAGAGTGTAAGCACTCAAACAGGTTATACACCAGTACAAAGAAGTGAAGTCTCTGTGCTTCTATTACATGACATTGTGTATGCGTGTATTGTTGTCTCATCCGGTTATATAACATGCAGGTAGGTTGCCTTGGTGTCCACCCCTATCACATTTTTGGCGGTGCATTTGTAAAATCCTGTATCCATGCTTGTCGGTTTTTGTATCACTAAAGAACCCTGAGGGCTAAGATAGCGGTTCCCATAAATGCGAGGCTGAGCCATGACCTTCAGCTGCATCAGGTCTGGTGTTTCCCAGGTAACTGTCGCCCGGGGTGTTGCTATGGTCAGGCAGGGCAGTTCCACAGCGACACCAGGGCGGGTGTAGGTCACAGGGGAGGGGCCTGTTGTGATGCGCGGAGGGTAGGCGATGACAATAACAGGAACTGTGATCACTGAAACTGAGGAAGAGTCATAACTCGTGGATCTGCAGGTGTAGGTGCCACGGTCGAACACAGAGGCCTGCTGCACTGTTAATGCTCCATCCTCTTGGACTAAGTAACGGCCTGAATCACCACTCTCACCCTGGGACAGCACCTTGCCACTGGGCATGGTCCATGTGAATGAGCCGCGGGTAAAGCCAGGTGTTTGAGAAGCAGGGCAAGGCAGGTGAAGGGTCTCTCCATTAATGATGCTCACAAGAGAGGCTGTTTGGGTGATCACAGTGGGCGCTGAGGCAGTGCCAGTTGAGGATGGGGGGCCAACTGGGTGAGGTGGTGCAGGCAATCTCACTGCACTTTGCCGAGGCTTTTCAGTAACTGAGATTCTCGGGTAAAGCACAGGTGATGCTGGCTTTGAGCTTAAGGACTGCTCTGATTCCACTAACCCTCTTGAGAGCGGCACCTTTGTTAAACCAACCCTTTCTACCCTGTGTGGAGATCTGACCTCCTCCTGCCGGTCTGACACCTCCAGCTCCACCCGCATCGTTGTCTCTCCTTTCTCACTTCTCACTACACAAACCAAGACACCACCATCACTCCCTCGAACACCCCGCAGCTCTAAGGTACCATTTCGGTGCACAGTGAGACGACTGCCATAGTAGGGAGATGGCAACATGCCATTCCCAGGCAGAAGCCAGAACAGACGCGACTGGCGGGAATTTTGGGAAGGGCATGGCAAAAAAATAGTTTGACCTTTAACTGCTTGCTGCTTCACCGCCGTTGCTACACCCAGTACTGTGTTGGGGGAGTTTTTATCATCAGTATTACTACTTAACTCACCACCATTTCTGCTGTCGGTCCTGCCTAGATTACCGCTCCTATTAAAATCATCCCCTCTGTGTGTGCTTGTCCCAACTGCTTTATTAGACACAGTGCTACTAAAGCCTCCAGCATTTCTCGAATTACCACTTAACCTGCCATTTTCTCCGCTCGTATTAGCGTCATTACTAGCCTTTCCTGCAATGACTTCATTGATATTCCGTGCAGGATTTCTCTCAGCACTACCTTCTCTAACTGTGCTGCGACTGTTACCTACACTGTTGCTGTTGTGTATAATACTAGGTCTATTCATATTAATTCCAGTATTATCTGCTTTAGTGCTTACATTCCTAGCACGGTTCACCCCCACGCTGATTACGCTACTGCTCAGTTTTGTTGTAATTCCACTCACAAGCCCGTTAAATCCATTTTGACTATCATTCTTAAGGACAGGATTAGAGCTACTGATTGCCAAATTAACACCACTGCTTGGTACAATGTTTCTTATCCTCTCATTATCGTTGTCATTGCTGCTGCTGTTGTTATGCAGCTTGTCTGTGATTCCAGACAATCCATAGCGGATTATCCCCCCATTGTTAATGTTGTCCCCTGATCTGGTGTCAGTTCCACTGTTATTGCTCCAACCTCCACCTTCCACTCGGCCACGCAATCCATAGGTAGGCGTCTCCACCTCAAGCCTGACCACCCTGCTCCTCTCCCCAGCTGAGTTGCTTGCTTGGCACGTATAGTTTCCTGTGTCGATCTTTTGAGCTATGCGCACCTCCAGAGTGCCATTTGAAACCACCACTACTCGTTCAAAATAATAACCAGATCCTAAACTTCGTGGGATAACACGGTTTGCAGGGTTGAACCACGTCACTGTAGGGGTAGGGTTTCCTGTGGCTCGGCACGGAATTCGGGCCGTTGCTCCCTGGCGTACTTTCATGACATGGTAGCTTCTGTCATCAGTAAAAGTTGGAACAGATGTCATCATAACCTTTACTTTGACCTTGAAGGGGTGAACAGATGATGGAATTGTTTAGTGTTTTTAGTTGTGTAAAAGCTTCAGTTTGAAAGCACTCATAACTCATGCAGCTCATGACAAAGACTTTTAATTAAAATGATGAAGAAATTACTTGTCTTACCTTCATGGTGTCGTGGCCGCCTTGATTCTCAGCGTAACACGTATACTCTCCTCCTTCTCCAGCGCTTACTGCTGGAACCAGTAACGTCCCATTGCTGAACACTATTAGTCGTTGTTCTCGGCCTCCTCTGTCTTCCCCATGCAACACGCTGTTCACCATGGTTCCATCTGGTAAGGTCCAGTGGACAGCTGGGTCAGGCAGCCCTGATGCCTGGCAGTCCACCTGCAGAGGATCAGTGTTCCAGTGATGCATGATTTAAAAGGTTGTTGACTTTTTGTTTGGGATGAAAGCTGAAGTCGTAAGAAACATTATAAATGATAAATAACAACTACATGCTGCACTCTAAAACACATCTAAGCCACTACAAATTTCACACTCACACTAAAACACAGCTCATAAATCTTTAAATTAAAATAATTATTTTTAAAAATCCCACACTTGCTTTGTTTTTTTTTTTTCTTGACATTATTTTTCACCAAGCCTTTAAATATTGATGTGTGCTTTATTTTCTGCTGAAAAACACTGCTGATGATTCATAGCTGCACATTTATGCGTCGGCAGGTTTTTCTTTCTTTTTTGACCCAAATAATATAAAACATTTTTAGATCCCAACTTAAAACCTGAACTTTAGGACTCAAATATACCAACCCTGGCACGAAATAACTCTAAAACTCAACAGTAAACTTATATAAGAGAGGGACAGTTCAGATTTAGACATTTCTTGCCAGACATTTTAAACAATACAGCATCAAATGAATGAATGAATTGAATTATTTCACGGGAAATATGCAGTGCAAACACTACAACTTAATAACAACCCAGATTCAAATAAAATTGAGTGAGAAACACAGACTGGAAATAAAATATTAATCGCTTGTGTGCATTTATCAAACAAACTTTGCATCAGAAGCAGCTGAGAATTGCAATTTAATTACATTTCTGTTTTTCTGCTCACCTTCAGTGGTTTCCCGACTGACACCATCTGAGTGAGCAGTTGTTTTGGTTCAATCGTGGCGGGTTTCGCAGCTACAGTAACACGCAGGAGGCGATAATCATCTGCGACCTTGTTCCGTGCAATGCACAAGTAGTCTCCAGCATCCTTCTCCGTTACAGCTTGGACTGACAAGGTACCGTTAGGATGCACCTTCAAACGCCGGTCAAAACTTTCATTCAAACGTAGATAATTAAATTAGATGAAGTACTATTAAAATCAACAACATATGTAGTGATACAAATGTGGACATTCCCAGTACCTTAAGTGCTGGTCCACTAGCTTCCTGCTGGGGGTCCTCCAGATAATGATAGGGGTTGGGTTGCCAGTTACGGAGCAGTGAAGCTGTAAAATCCCCCCTTGCGGGACAGTAGAACTAGATGGTGATGTAGAAATAATACGGGCTTTGCTAAAAGGGGACAGGAGCAAGGGATTCAAAACAGTAGATGCTCTCCTGTCTGTAGGGGAAGCAACTCTTGTGTTGGTTATACTGGGTGAGACTTTATTCTTATTTATTGACCCCGTGGAGGGTGGGGAAAGGGAAGAAGAATTTGTTTTTTTGACACTGGTAAAGTGTGTGTGGGAGGCAGTGACTGTTTTATTAAATTTAGGTGATGAGTTCGAGGACCGGTAAGGGTTAGATGAGGAGTGAGAAGAGCTTAAGGTGAGCGACGTCTTGGATTTTTCCAAGGGAGATTTAGGGGAGCTAAATGGATTTGAGGGCTGGTTAGAGATACTCAGACCTGTGTCATTAATGAGTGATGAAGAAGGTGGCCTTTCAGTAGCAACAGCTTTTACTCCTTTATGACTTACTTCTCCCTGTCTTCTTTCTCCTTCTGCTCCCCCTTCAATTTTTAACTTCACTGTTCTCTTATCGGTCCCCACAGCATTACTTGCTGTGCACTCATAGCTCCCAGAATCATTTGGCCCGACTTTTCGAATATGCAGTGTCCCATTGGTCAAGACAAAGAGGTTGCCGTGGAGAAACTGGGATGGGCGAACAAGGGTCCCATCTGGGATTCGCCAGCGGAGAGTTGGTGGAGGGGCACCTCGGGCTGAGCAGTGAGCATAAACTGGCCTCCCCGGAGACAAGAGCAGGTGTTCCTCTCTGGGTTGCTGTATCACCGGAGGTAACGAGGACACGTGTACACGCACAGAGGTGCTGGCAGCACCAGCTGAGTTGGAGGCCACGCAGCGATACACTCCTCGGTCACTGGGTAAAGTTACTGAGATATGAAGAGTTCCATTCGTGTCCACGCTGATTCGACTGGTGGAGGGGCCAGCGGATGTCATGACAGAACGATCTGGCAGAACCCACGAGAGCAGAGGGGCGGGAACACCATCCGCTTGGCACTCCAAGTGCACTTCTCCACCCTGATGAATGGTGGCTTCTCTGTAACTAGCCAGCTGCATACGAGGGGGGCGAGTCCAAACTTCCAGGGTCGTTAGCAACCTGCCATGAAGAAGACGGGCAAAAAAAACCCTCAATTTATGAAATATGCAAAGGCAAACACACAATGCATGACTCTATCAGAAATCACATAAGAGGCACCAAATCATACTTTATATATACAGGTTTGCATTACTGCGTATGTCACTGTTTGCTGTTATAACAACAGACTCAACAAGCATAACTGCACCACAATATACATTATGCTGAGTAATTTAATTGCACATTACTGTAGGCTGATGTCATTAATATTAAAATACTGTGCCCTGTTGTCATTACACAACCATACTGTATGCATAACATATATCAGTAACCTCACCTATCACGACCCAGCATGCTTTGTGCACTGCAGATGTATGTGCCCCTGTCCTGCAGCTGAATATTCTGGATAACAAGGGTGCCATTTGACAGGACCTCAAAACGCTGAGCTCTGGAGTGGACTGACATCACCGCTCCTGAGTGAAAGACATACAGCAAGAGAGTAAGACAGACAGACGCACACAAAGAGCAGCAACGAGCAAAGAGAGTGAGGAAAAACGTTAAGAGGGTGAGAAAGAGACAGAGAGGAAAGGAGGAACGGGGGCACACCAAATGGCACAGCATGAAGTAAAGTCAGCGATGCAGTGCACAAAATGTTCCATTACTTGCTTGCGATGTCTTTCCCACATGGCAAGCTAGAGAAAAGCCTATTGTGTCCATGCCAGTGTATATGCTGGTTGTTAATGGGGGTTTTTTTCATCACAGTAAAATGTGTTTGTATTCATTCATAGCACATATTAAAGCTGACGCTTATTTCCTTTAGCATTAGTGACCTCAGAGTGTAAACCTTTAATTACTCTGCTTTAAATGCAAAGTCAATAGATTTTAGACCATACCATACAGACATGCACATATGCAATAAACTGGTGAATGCGAAATAAGCACTGCTGCGTTTTCCAGCAAAATTAAAAGAATAAACATGAAGCCTGTTCCATGATTTGAGTTTATGCAATAGATTTAAAGTGGCGGTAAACTGGATTACACACTGACATAGCTCAGGGTGTTTTGTTTAAGGTATGTTAGAATAAATGCATGCTGCAGTGTGCACACCTGTAGCGACTTTAATCCACGTGATGGTGGGTTTTGGTTCTCCTTTAGCTTCACAAGTCAGCCTGGCAGTGCTCTCTGCTGGGAATGACACTGTCCTGACATGCGGGTCTGCAATCCTTGGTCTGGATCTCACGACTGGAGCCTACAAGAGCACATTAAATCACAGGATAATGAATTTGACTCCTTTAAAATATTCAAACCTTTAAAGATATCTGGGATTCACTAATGAAACATTTTAAACTTTACAAGTTTAAAATGTTTCATTATGTTGGCCTGAATTAGGTTGGCCATTGAGTTTCATTTTCTTAACTAAATAGCCAGTGACTGGAGGACTTCCAACAACCTACAGCAAGCAGGCAAATTAAAACACATTTGTGAAGTTATGAATCAGCATGAAAAGTCTGATTCACAGGGGCTAATTAAAAACTGCCAGTTTGTAAAATGTTTCTTATTGCTCTTTTTTTTTTATTAAATAGTGATATTGTGGAATAAGATATATAATATAGCTTCACAGTGATCTCAGACTTAGAGTTTTTGTTGGTGGACTGAGATTTTTAATCTACTGAGGCTTGCCAACAAGGCCTGTAAATTAATTAACAATTGATTACTTTAAATCCCATGGGATTAGACTCACATAATGCATAACAACACATAATGCTATTGATTGTGGAACACGTGTTTTTAATTTTGTTTTTTTCTTTAGATCTCTGACAGAGCTCTGGAGAATCCATGAAATTGGAGAATTGTCATAAACATCCTTTAATTTTAATTGCAGGTCATGTGGATAGAGATTAGACTGTTTGGAGATCTAGATTTTGCCCCAAGGGCTTGCAGAGTTGGGTGTAGTGTGTGTGTGTGTGTGTGTTGTTTTTTTCTGGGTCAGCCAACTCTGGTTTGGAGCATCAGAGGCACTCACTTGGTAAAGAAATGTTAATGTGAGTTGTGTGTATATAAACTGCAAATTACATTTAAAAGTGCACTTAAAGAAATTACCCACTGCATAAATTACTAAATGACTAAAAGCAAGTAAAAATGGGGAAACATTAATTTGCAATTGAATTAACACTAGAAAAGAACAAATGGTGGTCCTAGTTTGGCTGTTATTCTCTTTGTAGTGTGTGTGTGTGTGTGTGTGTGTGCGCGCGTGTGTGTGTGTATGTGTGTGCTTGCCTTAAAGCCCATTTTGGGTAGCACTACCTATAAAATAGAAATGTTATTTGAATTCATTTGGACTCACCCCAGGAGCCACAGGGAATGAAGGGGACCAGTTAGTCCTGCTGCTGTGTGAATCTGGAATTGAATTAGCGCCGGCATTTTTCCAGTCAGTGGGGGGCCGACTCTGGTTTGGAGCACCAGAGGCAAGCCTCTCTCTGGGGTCAGCTAGGTCGATGCTTGGCCTCTCCCGGGATGATGTTTTGGTATTTGCTGATGTCATTATTGCAGCGGTACTGGAAAGTGTGCTAGGCGTAGCTGCCCTAGAAGTTGAGGGAATTTTGGCTGAAACTGTAAATGTTGGAGTAGTGGTAGTAGTAGTAGTAGTAGTTTTAGTAGTTTCAGATGTAGTAGAAGCAGTAGCAGTAGATGGAGGGTTAAGAAATCGGGATGTAACAATGAATGAGTTTGAAGAACTACTAGTAGTAGTGCTAGTATCAGTAGTAGTAGAAATCAAAGCATTATTATTAGGGTTTATTGTAGTGGTAAAGAGTTCAACTACAGGAATAGTAGCGGGAGTAGTAGATGTAAGAATAGGTGTAGCAGAGGTAGAAGCACTTGCAGTATGTCTGGTAGTGCTAGATGTTGGAATAATAGTCCTAGCAAATATGGTGGAACTTGTAGTCCTAGGATTAATTGCAGTTGTTGTGGGAAGCTTGTACTCATTAGTCATAGCAGAAGATGTACTTTTAGAGCTGCTGGCATTTGCATTAGAATAAACCTTTTTAGGGGCAGTTGTAGGATTTGTTATGGTTTTTGCAGTAGCTGCACTGGAAACTGAAACAAGGGAGGAGTGAGTTGCTGGAGAGGAAGACTGATATAGTATGCTCACAAAATTCTTCCCCAGCTTTTCACTGTGTTTGTTTGGGGGTGTGTCAATATGCTTGCCTAAGGCTGTTTGTGTTTCTGTGTGTTTGTGTATACTGTGTGCTAAGGTATGTGTGCCTGGCACATGTGTTTCTGAAATGACAAAATTAGAATGAGTGGGTGCTGGTGTGCTGAAAAGAGTGGACTCTTCACTGTCTGGTATCTCTTCCCTGTCTGGTCTCTTGCCTGAGTGAGTCATTATAGCTGTAGGTGTGTATCTGTTTGTATACGAGGGGGAGGGAGTCTGTGAGGGGGAGGAAGATGATGAAGCAGAGTCAAAAAGATTCAGAGCAACATCGTTTGGAGCAGTCTTAATATGGTCTCTCTGTGTCGACAAAATTCCCGCAGATGTGGCTGTTGAGACCAGCGACAACATATTGATTTGATTTGTAGTGGTGTCAGGTGTCACAGCAGGGGTTATTGGGTTTGTGGGTTCCAGGGGACGTTGGTTTGGGGTCAAAAGTTGCACCCTGGGCCTGTTGATGATTCGTCTCCGCTGTCCAATCTTCCTGTGTGAGTTCCAAGGTCTTTGGGGGCGGGAGTTTGGCACCAAATTAGGGAAGAACCGCTGTCGGGGATTCTGTGGTCTCGTTCTTGATGGATTGGGGTTCACTTCTCGCTCATCTCCTTCAACTGGTTCTGGGACAATTTCATTTGTTCCTGACACTGGATAAGATGTGACCGGTTCTTTCCGTGTCACTGCGTTTGCTGCTGTCTGTGTTTGTGAACCCGGTATCTCTGCCTGCCTGAGTGTGTCTGTCTCATTCTCTATCTGTTTTTCTGTTGACCTCTCTGTACCTTCTTCTGTCTCAGAGTCTGTTTCAGTCTCTGTTTTTATCTCTGTTTTTGTCGGGCTTCCTGTGTTAACAGGTTGAATGGGCTGTAACTCTTCCTCCTGAAGAACTATATCATCAACAGACGACCCTTCAGTTTCTGCTTCCACTCCTGCTCCCTGACCTCTACCTCTATCTGTATCATCATCTTCCTCGTGTTCTATCGTGACTCTGTCTTCAGCTTCTTGGACCGGTGCAGCTGTGGGCTTTTCTGTTGTGATAAGTTGGCCACGATTAGCGAGAGCAGTCCTTTGACGTATCTTAGCCAAAAGGTCAGCCCATTTCTGCGGATCTATCTTTTTTTTGCTCGTGCTAACTCGACGTTTGTTCTCAAAGAGGTTTCTTCTCTGGTCTGTGGATGAAAAAGCTGCACCGCCTCGTCTCCGGGAGCCTTCTCTTACAGGCCCACGTCTTCGTGGGTTTCCAATCGGATAGCGTCTGTTTGGGGGTCCCTGAAACGACACTGGGCGTTTTCTATTTCCAACAGTCGCCTCTTCCACTTCCTCTCCGTCCCCTGATCCTTCATTCATGTCACGTAATAAAGGAGCTCTTATCCTGGTTGACCGGCCAGCAGCAGACTGTGGTCCTCTGGGAAACGAAGTCCTAAGTGCAGGGATATGCTGTGAATTTAATATCAGCTGCACTGACAGAGCATCTCTACCATAGTGGTTGACTGCAGTGCAGCGGTAATGACCACCATCCCTCAGGGAGGGGTTAGGCAGATAGAGACTCCCATTTGTTTCTATGGTGAGTCCACCTGGCACAGCAGTTCCTCGGCGTACCACATTTCCATTTGGCAAAATCCAGCTTAAATAAGGCTCTGGTGAACCAGACATCCTGCAAGGCAAACTGACAGGTTCTCCAACTGTCCCTGTGACAGGAGGCCCCACTTGCTCTCCTAAATGCGGAACAGAGGACTCCTCCACTGCCAGATGCAGAGGAAGAACATCTACGTCCCTCCCAGCCCTGGCAACGCAGTAGTAAATCCCAGCATCTGACAGTTGTACATTTTGTAGCAGTAAAACAAAGCCTGAAGCCCGGAGCCTGCCATCTAGGGTGCTGGAGGGGGAGAGGAGTTCAGATCCATCTGGGAGAATCCACTGTGCTTTGGGGTTGCCAGAAGTGAGAATTGGGCAGGGTAGCTGTACTTTACTGCCTGCTACTGCTGCCAGTGCTGTGGTAGTATGATTAGTTGAAATCAGCACCCAAGGGTGAGAAGCAGCAGAGGATGATGAGAGTTGAGAGGTAGGGTCAAGATGAGCAGAAACTCTTGTTGAGTATATAAGCTGAACCTTATGTCCATTAGACTGCGCTCTGTTTAGCTGAATGCTAATAGCTGGCTGCATTAACCACTGAGGCCTGGCTTTAACAGAAGCTTTGACTCCAGTGTGATAATATCCATCTGTCTCTGCTGCCTGCCTATAGCGGTAGGCCAACGCTGGGGATTTACTCAGCATGATCTCCCTCTCGAGGCGAACTGCAGTCTCGCTGTAGTAAGCCAGAATCCTCCAAAGTTTCTCATAGCTCTGTCTCTCCACGGGGCACTCCAGAGAGAGCGAGAGAGCGAGAGGAAGAGGAGAAGATGAGGACACGGAGAGATCTGGAGGAGGAGCAATATCTTGGGAGTCGAATGATTGAGTGATGTTGCAACTCAGATCAACACTGTACCCTTGCTGGTCAGACAAACCCAGTGAGGCACTGCCTAAGGGCTCTCTGAAGGTCTCACTTGATTTAATTTCACTGGGTTCTGTCCCTAAAGGTGCCTCTTTTCCTGGAGACGGGATCACTGGTGAATTGCACGTTAAAGCAGTCTGTTCAAGCAAGCCCTGCCCTTGAAGTGAATTGGGGGATGTACATAATGGACACTGTGGGCCACCAGGACATTTCATCAAGCCTAATTGAAAGAGGGAAACAGAGAAAATGATATCATCAAAAGACAGCCTTACCATATCTAATGTCATAGCAGCTATGCAAATACACAATAGCACGTTTTAGCTCTTTCAACATATAACTGCATATTATAGTCATTTATTAGTCATGGCAGCATATTTTAAGCATTCATTACACTTTATATCTCTTACTAATTAGGTATGGTTACTTAATTTACACATAAATCAGAAATATGCATCACTTCATTACTACACAGGAATCATTAGCCTATATTTCAGTGGACACACATCAGTGCTGTCATCATGGATTAGTCATGGCAAGTTAAGTCTGGCATATCAATGAGACACATTTCACGGCCTAGCTTTCTCTCACATCTCAATAACAGCCACAAAACACACTGGAAGATAATGGGGAGAAACAATGAATAATTTGTGACAAAAAGCAGGTGGAGGGCGGTAGTGGCCAAAGGTTCTCAGATAACAAAACCAGATGCATTAAAATGAATGGTTTTGGCATGCAGCTCTCGGTCTCGGCTTATAAAGTGGAAATATCAACAAAACAATCTTCTGTTTCTCAGCCCGTTCCCAATGTTCCTTCTCACCTTATCTATTTCTTCTTCTGAACACGTTAGAGAGACAAAACAATAAGTGTAAACAAATGATTTTTTCAGGAATGGCAGTCACCTGGGTGAGCCAGAGTCCAAGAAAGAAACCAGTTCATCCTGCAGTCACAGCTCCACGGATTAGCCTGCAGCATAAGAGTTTCCAGCAGAGGTGCTGTTGCTAAAGCGTCTTTGGGCAGGGTGGTTAGACTGTTGTTGGAGAGGTCCAGGTGTCTAAAGAAAGGGAAGAAGAAAAAACTGATATGAAAACAGAGGGAAAGCAGAGTCTGAATCAAAGCAGATGGTTGCTTGGACTGAATTTAAGTTAACAATTACTCAATTACTGTGTTGCCCTCACTCTCAGGACTACCAGCAGAACTAAATCTGGTTATACTTTTAAAACCAGATTTCCCTCGCACTGATTATTACATTGAATGTTTGAAGTGTACAAGCTCACCTGAGTGTGGAAAAGTAATATGTATTCAGTAGGGACAATGTGCATAGAGTGTGAGGGTGCAACTGATGCAGCCTGTTTCCTTGTAGACGAAGCAGCCGGAGGCTAGGCAGCTGGAGCAGGGCCCGGGGGTGGATGTGCTGGAGGAGGTTGTGATCCAAATACAGGCGGAGCAGTGAGGTCAGGCCAGAGAAGGTCAGCGATGAAGAGATCTCTCTCAGTTTGTTATAGCTTAACTTTAGTATCTGTGGGAATAAAGGAAATGAAATGAGCAGAAGGAATGGAGGATTAGGACAGACATCTAAGGCTGATTTAAAAGGAAAAGAAAAGTCGGTTACTGGACACCACATGCTGGCAACATGAGTCTATAACATGAGAATAAAGAGATGTGTAAAAATCCAAGTAGAAACAACTGATCCTGAGTAATTTTTTTAAAATACAAGCAAAGATTTCAAGAAAATAGTTAAAACATTTACAAAACTACTGCTGACAGCATATCCAGATGAAATATTCATGCTGTGCATCGGGTCAAACTAAAAGGATATCCTAGAACTGGCGGGGTTTCTCATTATCCAAATGTAAAATTTAGCACTTTCCCCAAAAGGAAACTGTAAGAAATCTATTGCTATTCCAGCCATGTGTGAAGATCCCGCCAGAAATTTAAGAAGGCGCACCATGAAAATCAGGTTGTGGAATTTTGTTTCTGTGAGGCTTACGTTAAATCTGCCCTCTGGGGAGGCTACTGAGCTGGAAGAGTTCCAGCTGCTGACGGATCAAGCATGTGAAGACGTCAGCACATGAAAATATGGATCCTATTACCACAGAACGGCAAATATATCAGCATCTGCCTGGGAGATGAAGGGAACAATTGCTAGTTGAGTAATATCACTTCCCCACGGACTGCTAACTCTGCCCTCAGGTTGCTTCTCAAATGTCCAGTGTGTTTCCTGTCACCAAGCAGTGAAACGAATGATGATTGCTAAATTATGCATCACTTATAAAGAAATTAGGAAAAAAATGCTGACGTTTTGAATCTACAAAATGATGACTGTTCGCTTTGATTGATTAATTCTAGATTAGTTTTGCAGATCAGAGCTTTAGCTAATGAATCGGTTTAATATTAATAGTATGACTGCAGGATTTGGGCACATTTATCAGTGTAGCGTCGTTTCTAAATTACACCAAACCTTTTTGACAAATACTATTTATCTTGATAATCATACATTACTGGCGTTATCAGTAACAGAAACCTTCTTTGACAAGCGGTTTTAATATTAAGCTCTCATAGTTAGAGTGTTATTAAGAGTGTTAATTACAAGTATTTCAGATGTTACTGGTCTACTGTATCGTAACTTTTTATCTCCACTGTCACAAAATGTTGTCTCTCCTACCCATTAGGGTGTTGAGGCGACTGTTTGTTGTAATTTGGCGTTTTATATATAAAACTGCCCACTCTCTGTTTAATTAGATTCACTAACCCCAGTGAGAAAGGTCAGAAGTATTGTCTTTCTCCTCTTCCTGTTTACCTGTAGCGATTTCATGTCTCTGAACGCTGCATCTGGAAGATGATGGAGGTCATTGCTGTGAAGCATCAGAAGCTCCACCCTCCTTAACCCAGCCAAAGACCTGTCATGGAGGTTCCTGATGCTGTTAAACCTGCCAGAGAACAAAACACCATCTGTATACTTTAAAAAAAAATTTCCTGTGTTGACTGATTTAAAAAAAAGAATAAAAAACACCCAAAAAAGCTTTAGCTCGTTATCACTGATATGTTACATATGTGTGAGCAGCATACTTTGTTCTTTTGGATGTATGTGTGTTTCCATACCCTAAGTTTATGCGTCTTGTGTGTGCAGGCAGACCGGGAGGTATAGCGAGCAGTGAGCGGAAGGTGCAGTGGACTTCATTGGCCTGGTAGCAATTACAGGTCCTGGGGCAGGACTTGCTCGTGGGCACAACAAGTGCCAGCATCAGGAGAGCCAGTAAAGCCGCAAGCACATTCACTCCCCGATTCATTTTCATTTACTAGAGGAGACAGTACACTATCACTGCAAAAGAGGAAAAGGAAGTCAGGAATAATGGAGAGAAGCAAAGAGCACCAAAATTTCTCCAACAACTTCTGTCAAAATAACCTCTTTCCTTTTTTTAAGTAGAGACCACAGTGCTACTCCTCACACTTTTACTTATACTCAAGCCACAGAGCCATGCTGGAACACCGCACCTGTCTTAAAGGTGAGATATTTAAGTATAAGACATACAGACGCGCATGCGTGTGCTTAAGTAGTTAGCGGTGTGGCTGATGCGATATATGAATGAAGGTTTAAGTCAAAGGGCGCATTAGGAGGCTAGAAATACTCCCGCCCTCTCCCTCGCTCGCTCTGTTACTCTCACCCAATCGCAAAATTAACATAAAAACGCCAAACATTTAAATTCAACAGACCAACTATAGAGCTAAACATGAGAAAGCTTTTCGACCTATAGTTAAAATTTAAGTAAATCATGCTGATGAGCAAGAAGCATTGGAGATAAATAGATTCTTTTACCGCGTTTCACAACATACCTTGAAATCCTTCGGTCCGGGGGAGTTAATCATTTAATGGAATTATTCATTTTGACCATCAAACGCTGACTTTAATCCAGCTGCACGGTTCGGAAATTTAAAAGCAAATTTATGCAGTTTATCCGCCCATCAGGTCCGATACTTGGAGTGAATTCCCAAGAAAGTTATCACCTTAGAAGAGAGCCAAGAAAATCCTGAAAAGTAATATCACTTTTTTCCAACTCCACAAAACTTTTTTTTAAAGTATGTTAACAACATCCAGAGTTCTTCATGCGTCTCTACAAAAGTAGAGCGGCAGGAGCGGCAAGCGGACTATTTGCATAAGCGTCTGGCGCTGTGTGAATGTGTGCGAGCGTGTGTTTGTGTATGGGACAGTGGATGTGTATTTGGAAAGGGGGACTGGACTGAAGTGCACCGAGTGACGCTCGGGGAGAAGGGTCCATCCAAGGAGGGGCTTTCTCTGGAAACCCAGAGGTAACAAGTTACCGCGTTCGGGCTGCTGCTCCTCTCAAATGCGTGTAGCTGTCAGAAAATAACGCCAAAACTCATTTGCAAACTCTTATGTCGGATAAAGGCTCTTATAACTTCTCTAGGAAGTTTAACTTAGGTCATTTTTTCTATATAATTTTAATTTCGAGAGGGCTTCTGGCTTTTACTTATTTCATATAATCTTACTGTCTGAACAGTTTTTAAATTTAAGCTGCAGAAATGTGGAAATTTGTGAACAGTAAATATTGTCATTTGATCTGACATCAAAAATAAGCTCATTAATAGGATAGAGTCTAAAGAAACAAACTATGAGGTATCCATCTGAGCCTCCTTATTACTATATTATAGTAAATATGATTTTGACCTATTGTCATTAAGATGGCTTCTCCACTCTGCCAGAAGATTATTCTGGTGAAAAAAATAGTAAACTTCTGTATTTAACTAAATTTAATGTAATATTAATCAAAGATATTGGGCAATGAAAAAAGTCTGAGCACACAAAATACCATATTGCACCGAACCATTAAACGCACCCATGATACCAAAAATTACACAGAAGACATGACCTCTGTCTCTTCATTGGCCCTTAGGCTGTCTCTGATGTACACATTTGGGTTAGGATCTACATCTTATTCTAATCCATCTGATGTGTCACAACTTTTTCAAGGACACTGAAGCAGAAGCTGAACTGAAGCTTGCTTAATTGGGAGATCCTCTGTTGGTAACATGTGGTTCCATATTTTCAAGTTCCACTAAAAATGTATCTAATTTTCAGGCACCACGTGGCGATTACACCTCCTTCTGTGAGACTTAAATGAAGGGACAGCAAAAATAGACTGATGCTCCTCAGCTGTTGTCCCCTTTAAGTAACCCCACCCCCATTTGTCACAGTAAGTTAGTGACAAGCGAGTACGCCTGGCAGAGGCTCTTTGCATTCCTTTAGGTCATTAAAGCGATATTTCTGAGAGAGAAAAAAAATCACCTTATTTACCCTGGACAGAAAAACTGCTTGAGTTTCTAGGTCTCTCAATAAACTTTTCCAGCACAACTGAAAGGTTTTTGTTTTTTTTACTCACCACAGGGGGCAGCAGTACTGAAGTGCAGCAGCAGATGTGCAAATAAGGTCACCACTGAAAAGTTTTGAAGAATTCACATCAGCTGCCTGAATAATGGATTGTTGCGCTAATCCTGAATGACTGTTCATACCTGCTGGCTTGACAGTCGACAAGTGAACATCCGCAGACATCTGAGTGGATGGGATTTGATGCTTTACATTCACCAGCAAAATTCCCTCTGATGTTTTTCAACAGATGATCCAGTCTTCACCACCTTATAACCCTTGTCTCTGCAGGCAGTGTTGGCCTGTGAGAGCTTAGCAGCTCTCACATGCTGCACCGATTCCCTGTAGCTGTAATATGACTGTAAAAAGCATTAGGCCCAGACCCAGCTCACTTCATTACAATACTTATCACTGTTATTGGAATGTATTGGACCATAATAAATGAATCACTGTCTGTCTAACTGGAAACAAGTAAGGAATGAAGACATAATGTAATATAAAGGCTCCTTGGGGGAAGAGAATGAATGAATGAGTCAAGAGAAAAAAAGAGGAGCAAAGAGAATGAGGGTTAAAGGCACTATGCTTTTGGCTTATGGAGAATGACCCACACTATTAAGTAAATGGTTTACATGCTGCATAAACAATTAGCTCCCGTCCCTTAGCTTCTTTTTTTTTTATCACCAGTTATAGGCTTGGTTTTTGTGTTTTTTCAGTTTTGTAAAGTGAAACATGGCATCTTTACCTCAAATGTCCAATTTTCTGTATTTAACAAGTGAGGAAATAAAGGATGCTATCAGCGATGCTATTTGTGTGCTATCGGCACACAGAAAATAATATTTACCGCTCTCAGGCCCCTGGTTCTAAGAATAAATAAATATTTTAGTTCGAGAAGCTGGCGGCCAAGAGTTTTGAGGTATTTACTGACAAATTTCTCTGAGCTGAATTGAAAGCTGCAGTAATACACTAGACAAAACCAGGTCATACAAAAAAAAAGACACCCATCCTGTCAATAACACAGAGTTACCACAAAGTGTGTTTCTCTAGACCTAACAATTTCCCTCAAACCCCCTAGTCCCTGCACCAAGCAATCACATCTGTCCACCAAATGCTCGGAGATGAAACTGAAATCCTTCATCATCATGCCTGCCAACACCAAAAATGTCAAAGTAAAGGAGCCCTACCAGAATATACTGTATGTAATTTTAATTTGTACCCAGTCATTGCTGAAAAAAAAAGATCTCATTTGCATGTTACTAAGGAATGCATTGCTTGCTCACTCCACAGCCTGCAGTCACTTCAAGATAAAAATTAGATCCCCTCACTTTTGCACGCTTAACCTCTTACAAGTGTAATTTTCATTTACTAAAAAAGGCAATTTTTCCAACCAAATTGGTTCCGTAGAAGAGACCTGGGCTGCTGGGAGTTTGTCAAACTGCATTTAAAAGACTCTGAGAACATGAGAGGAAAAAAGTAATTTAATGTGATGAGTTAAAGTCTGAACTATCTGGACAAAACTCCAAATACTATGTCTGGCAAATCCCAGTAAATGTAAAGTAAAGCACAATGGTGGCAGCTTCACACCATAACGATGCTCATAGGAATGCTTAAATGCAATACAGATCGAAGCCTGCAGACTGCAGAGCAGAACCTGCGCGATGGGTGCAGGGAATGCATTATCTTTGAAGACGCTCTGTTCCAGGACGGACATGACCTGAGATTGGAGTGATGTTTCACCTTTCGGCACAACAGTGAACCAAAGTAATCAGCCATGACAGTACTGCAGTGCAATGGCCATCTGCAGCACATCCAGTCTTACAGAGCTTGACAGGAGTTGCCCAGCAAAATGTGACACCCAGGTGTGCAAACTATATGCAGACGTTATGTAAGCTATAATGACTTCCAAAGATTTAAATACTTTTAAACTGACTATTTTGATTATTGGTAAACTTTAAATGAATTTAAATAAAATTCTATTTGTAAAGGCATCTTAAAGCTTTTTGAAGGAACTTTTCTGTATTCTGGTTCTGTTTGTCTCTCTTGGTGAGATTTTTTAAGAAAGTACATTGGTCATCAGTGCTGTCTAATCTCCTGGGTTTGGTGTTATCTAGGTCAACTACTGGAGTGCTGACTCATGAATTCAGGAAGTATACAGCTCCAGGAGGAGAGAAGTTTGCTGATACATAATTTCAAATCATGTACATTATGTATTCTTTTTCAGCTGTCTTTCATGTATGAAAAGAAAAACTTTTTGAAAGTCCTGGCAGAGAAAAATCTGTGCATTTCATTAACTCTCAATTCTTGTTTTTCATTATTCAATTTTCTTTTTTTTTTCAGCATTTTGGTTCTTTAATTGCTGTACATGTCCTCTGAGTTCCCCTGTGTCAGTAAAGCTGGCATGATAAAAATATATATCTATACAGGGAGTGCAGAATTATTAGGCAAATGAGTATTTTGTCCACATCATCCTCTTCATGCATGTTGTCTTACTCCAAGCTGTATAGGCTCGAAAGC